TAAGTACTACTCTCTCTCTCTCTCTCTCTCTCTCTCTCTCTCTCTCTCTCTCGCGTCCGCGTCATACATTACGAAATTTACCGATATACAATACAAAAGAAATTACATCACATAATAAGAATACATTGAAATAGGTTTCAATTAACATTCTTGATGTAACAATGAAAACATGTTTCCGTTATTTAATTCCGTTTATTTTTTGTTAGTATTTTCAATAACATGCATTTTATTTTGTCATTGAGATAAAAGCTGACGAAAAAATGATCGACGTAAAGTTCAATATAGAATGTAAGATTCTACTATGTGAATTAACTACCGTTAGAAGAATCTCGCGTAAACAGGTTGCATCGTCTATTCACACAGCTTCAGTAATATCAGAAAGAACATTCTTCTAGGTCAGTGCTCTCGTAATGCAGCGTGTGGAGATCTCGTTTTACGACGGCAAGCCGGTAACCTGGCATCTACGTATAAAGATTTTATTTAACATGCGGCGAAAGTACAACGATAAGATTATCAAAGTGGCAAACAATTTTTTTAATGAATATTTAGTAAAGAATATTAATTTTTTATTTAAAGGACTTTTCATTTATGCCGAATCTAAAATTTAACCCGTGTTTCATTAATTTTTTTTAATGTGTTCTATATAGAATGATGCGAGTTTTTGCAATTATATAACATTTGGACTATCAAAAAATTTATTTATAAAAGAATATATATTAATGTCATAAAATGACGGTTGAATTACAAAACACCAAAATGCGCACGTTCACTATGGAACTGAGTCAATAACCGAATCCAAATGGGAGAGATTTTCATAACAATTCTTTTGTTGTTTACAAGAAAAATATAGTTTCATTATTTATTTTATCATATATTTTATCATATATTTTATAAATAAAAAAAACTCCTTTATTAGAAAAAAAATTATTTCGAATTCCTCGAAACAATACTTTCTGACCTGGAAATATCTGAAAGTATTCATTCAATTTATTTATATATTATATAATAATCAAAAAACATTTCGAAAAAGATATAAAAGAAGTTTCGAAATAACTTTATTTTTTAATTATTACTTTCTCTATGACCTCGAAAAATATAATGTCCAGTTAAACACTTTTAAAGTTTTAATTTTATTTTATTCATATGTAATAAAAGTTTTAATGCACTTACGATTATTCTGCGTTACCGGCGTTACATTAACCTTTTTTTCTTCAAACAAATCATATTTTGCCTGTTTTTCCGATCTGGAATTTCTGAATAAGAAGTTCGATGATTTGCATCATTTCTCACGCGCTGCTTTTTCTTCGGCAAATGTATTGTCCACACCCACCCACACACACACACACACACACACACACACACACACACACACCACCCTCCACACACACACACACACACACACACACACACAC